CCGGGGTGTCAGGAGGGCAGGTAAGGGGTGGGGCCAGGCAGGGCAGGGATCAGGTGGCTGGGGGAGTGGGCGGGTCCGGCAGTGGTCCCCCCCCATGGTCCCCTCTCCTCTCCTCCAGCATCCCTTGACCCCTTACTCATGAGCACCAAGGCAAGGGGCCAACCACGGAGACGCTCTGGAAACCAGATCATCTCCCTGGTGGACCCAGCCTCTGGTTGCCTCAGGGCACAGTCTAGAACCATGCCCTGCCCTGCTTTTTTTAGCTTCGGTTTTTTTTAGACCCCTGCATAACAAGGGGTCTAATTTTCTCTCCGTCCTGCAAGTTTGCAGCGTGGGGAACATTTTTTTTCATTCGCATACGTGCCTCTTGCCCCATCGCAAAGCAGGTTTGAGATGGTGCAAAAAGCATGTACACGCTTGTCTGGATGCGCCCAGGGAGCTTACTTTGCCAAACCCTGGAATTAAGAGCAAGTATGCCTGTCTTTTCTCAACAGTTCATTATTAAAGAGTTAACAAGTTTAACTAGTATTCAGATCAGTAAATGAGAACAAAAACTCTCGTGCCTCGGAATCTTTGAGTTCTTGCCTTGTGTTCAGTTCTTCAGGTCCTTCATTCCCCCAATCTTCCACAGGTTCACAATCGCCGATAAACAATCAGTAATGACAACTTTGATCAAGCATATATTAATGAAACAGTTTGGTCTTGAAGACCACTTTCCCTCACCCTGCCCACCCCCCCGCGCTAAGTGAAGAATTTGATACATTTCACATTCATTGGTTAACAAGATTTTAACTAGCATGGTTTTTAGACGTTATCAGTTACTTTTGACTGTTGACACTGATTGTTATTCCTTATGTTAAAAAATGTTTTATGTTTTGTCACAAAACACCAGGTTGTTTTAAAGAGTAGTGGATTTTCCTTACAACCAAATATAGCATAAAAGAAAAAAAGGAACACAATATATTATGTCTGTAAATATTTATTTGTACCTGACCTGCAGTGTTATTCTTCACTTAAATCAAGTACTTGAACAGTTCATTTTGACTTCGTTTTCAGTCTAGTATAGTTTACTTGCTTGTACAAATATTAAGTCAGTGCTGTAGTAGCTTTAACTTTTTGTTTGGGTGAAAGGATTTCCTTTCCCTATGCTACTAAAATGGATAACATATTTACAGTGTTATAACTAAAACTTTACGCAAAGCATCTGTACTTAAAAAAAATCATTTTGGTTTTATAAATGAGAAGTGTTTTTGAAACGGATCAGATTTCCATTTTTGACAATATTTTCAACACCCAATTAAGTTTTTATAAAAGGCTTAAAAATTCAAATGGCCATAGAATGGATAAATCACATGACACTTACACCTACTCAGAAAATCTTGCTGGAATGGTCTCCAAAACAAATCTAATAGAAAACTTCAGCTAAAACAGGCAAAACATGTCTAGTGTTGAACACCATATGTAATGAGGAAACTTATTTAGACTAATTGAATAAAAGTAATAGCTGTATACAATTGCTGATTTTGAACAGAATTCTAAGCCCTTTTTCCAGGTAAAATGCTGAAAACCATCATATTTTAGCTGTATGCAAACAAAATACTGTCATTTTCACTGGAAAATAAGTATATTAAAAACTTTATTAATTTTCCCGTAAGCATGGTTCCAGATACTTTACATAGAAATCTTTATTTCATCACACTTTCTGTGAATTTTGTAAAAGATGGCTTGATTTATAGTGCATTGTAGTTAACTCAATATAATTTATATTTGACCTAGAACATTTTCTTGTAATTGTAAATCAGAAGCACTTTTCACATTTGAAGGTTTTTTTTTCCTTTGTGCAGGCCCTCGTTGGTGATAAGACATTGGCATTCCGGCTGATGGATGCAGAGATGTATACAAATATGAGTGTGCTTTCCCCTCTTACTCCAGTTATTGATCGTGGAATACAGCTTCATAAAATGATTCGCCTCATTACTCATGCACTTGGAGGAGAGGGCTATCTCAACTTCATGGGTAAGTAATCATAGAAACAAGTCTTTTGTACAACATGCTTTGTGATGAAATAAAATAACCTGGAAATGTCCTGAATTTGAGCATTGACGTTTGCAGCTTAAATAGTTTAGATGGCTTGTTTCATTCAAAAGTTTTGTATGTTGTTTCAGTATGTTTAAGTTACAAGGTAATTTAGGATAGGAAAATGAAATACGGAGTAATTCCAGGTCTTTGATAATTTTGTGTGTGTGCTGAACCAATAGCATTAACTAAATTAACCAGTTAAAAAAATTAGACATATACAAGTCAGCAGGACTGGATGATCTTCATCCAAAAATGCTGAAGGAGCTGGCCAAAGTCATTGCAGAACCCCTGGTGAAGCTCTTCCACAATTCATGAGAAGTCCCTGAAGACTGGAAGAGGGCCAATGTTGTTCCCATCCACAAGAAGGGCAGGAGGGAGGACCTGCATAACTATAGGCCAATCATCCTAACTTTCATCTTAGAGAGAATCCTAGACAAGTTCATCAAGGAGTCTATCTGCAATAATCTTGCAGAAGGTAAGATTCTGAATGACAGCCAGCATGGCTTCATTGGAGGCAGGTCTTGCCTTAACAACCTCATCTCCTTCTATGACCTGGTAACTTGCCACTTGAACACGAGAGAGCAGGTTGACATTGTATATCTAAACTTCCAAAAGGCCTTTGATCTAGAATCCCACAATGTCCTCTCAAGAAAATTGGATGATTGTGGGCTTAACTCCGAGACAGTCAGGTGGGTAAGAAACTGGCTGCAGGATAGGACCCAGAGAGTTCTAGTGAATGCATCTGTCATCCTGGCAAGAAGTAGGCAGTGATGTCCCACAGGGGTTGGTGCTTGGTCCAGTACTTTTCAGCATCTTTATCAATGATTTGGATGTGGGGGTGAAGAGCTCACTGGCCAAGTTCACGGACAACACCAAGTTATGGGGAAGCGTGGTCACGCTTGAAGATAGGCTACAGATGCACGCAGACCTAGACAGGCTAACAAGTTGGGTGGATCGGAATCTGATGATTCAATCTCACCTACCCTGGAAATCTTGTTGGGGTCACGTGACCCCCAGTTACCTTTCCTGCTTGGTGCGGGGGGCTGGACCTGATGCTCTTCTGGGGTCTCTTCCAGCCTTACAACCTATGAATCTATAAACTAAAAATACTGTTTTGCATAATAATTCTAGTTTGGCTGTTTTATAGTGGTTAAATGCGAGTATGGCATACACTAAGCTCTATCTTGAAATACTAGGCTCACTTGCATTCTCTTTCATTCTGCTCTCAGGACTTTGAATATCTCCTAGCACACTAACTGATTGCATGTACAATGGTTATTTTTTAGTCACTCAATTATTGGAAAAAAGGAATGGTTTTAAATCATGAAATTTCTGTGTATTCCTTTATTCCCTGCCTATTATTACATAGAATACGTGTAGTGCCAGAAACGCTGGTGGGAAGAAGGCAAAGGTAGCAAATTAGGCATAGTTCTGTGTGGTAGGTAAGGGAAATAGGGTGGCCATTGGACCTGTTTTATACCAGACTGTCCTGTTTTTAAACCCTCTGTCCCCTGTCTGTTTCTAAATCAAGAACAGCCTGCAAAAAGTCCTGTGTTTTAGTTCATTGGTGGAAATACAGGTCAATCATTTGTCCTCATGATTCTATTGGCTGTTCCTAGAGGTAGGCCAGTGCACGGCCAGGAGGAGCAGGGTTCCTAGCCAGGGAAGAAGGGAGGGAGGTGGCCTTTTGTGGTGGCCCTGCTCCTTGCTGCTGATTGGCTGAAGAGGCAGTGGCCCCACCAGTTGGTTGGTTGAGGGGGCCCACCCCTCACCAAGGAGATGTTCTCTATTTTGGGAATATGTCAGTGGCCACCTTAGAAACAGTAGTACAGCGGTATCCAACCTTTTTGAATGTGGGGCCGGATCATGAAATTTTTATCACCCAGTGGGCCGGCAAGCCATATTCAAAGACCTCACAGGAAGCGGCATCACATCCATCCCCCTCACAGGAAGCGGTATCACATCCCTGCCCCCCCCCCCCCCCCCCAGGTGCTGCAATGGGAAAAGAAAGTACAGTGTTTACTTCCATTTCCCATTGCAGCACCTCAGGCCTCAGAAAACAGCTTGGAGGGCCGCATGTTGGGCAAGCCTGCAGTAGTAGACTACAGACACAGGCTTACTTAAGCTTAGTTTAAGAACTTTTTAGATGAAAATGTTTCAATATCCCAGGAGGAAAAAAAAACCCATCAGTACTGGAGCATCCTGGCATGTCACTTGGCCAGCTGTATAACAGTAAAGACAACCTTTCAAAACTAATTGTATTTTTTCTTTTTTTTTTCTGATTGATAACTATGGAATAGCATTATGCTGACATTTCCTTCTTTGTTTCCTCTTGCATAATGTTGCTATGAAGTAGTCTTTTTTTTTTTTTTTTTTAGACCACTTCAGCCTGTTGCTGTGTATAATTTGATGAGCCAAATTTTGTCTAATGATTTTGTGTTGCTTTGTAATGGAAAATAGGATTGAAAACTTCTCCTAAGTTAACATCTTGGTTACTTGTAATAATGGTAAATAAAAACTGAGTAGAATGAAAGTTTTAGAGCTTAATTCAATATTCGTCTTACCTTTTTTAATAATCTATTTTCAAAAGTATTGTTGGATATATTTTGGCTGTTTTTGACCCATGGTAGAATGGCTTAAATTCTGATCACTATGGCATCAGTGACTCTAAGGATTGATCCAGAACACATTCTATATTTATATATAGTGTAATGGCATGCATGACAAAAATGCTGCAAGATGGATTAATTCTTGTTGTTCTCTTCCTTCATGAAATTATGTACTCTTTTAATATGTCATGGAGCATGAGAAGGAATGTTTTGTATGCTTAATTAAGTTCTATATAGCTTGGAAAATCTTTTTTTTTTTTTATGTTCTTGCAGTACTGCTGCCTTGTTGCTGTGACACATAAGTGATAGTATACTATTAAAACAATATTGTTTACTTTACAATTCAGGAAGATTTTCTTACTAGAGCACAGAGGAATGAAGGAAGTAAATATTAATGCAATGTGTAAACCATGACCAAAATATAAGGAAGTGATCTGTTAGTTGATTCTAAACAATATTAGCTAAGGGGGCTTATAAATGTACCTGCTAAATTACAGCTATCACTGCCACAATTGGCATAGTAGAGTTAGAAAAAACACCCGTAACTCAATTTGGCATGTTAAATTTGATGTGTCAGTGCAAGCTGATGGAGAGCTTAAAACTGCACATTCTTGAGTAGTATGAAGGAGATGTTTCTGTGAATATGATGTTCTGTATGTCACAACCCAAAGGGTGTGATTTTTGTTTGTGTGTGCTTCGGCACTGCTAAATTGTTCCCGCTAAATTGCAGCTTCTTTGCACGGTGGAGTTTTCTGCTGCAAAAGAGAACCCCGGTGCAAAAGAATTCCCGCCACCAGTAGCTTTCTTTGCAGGGTACATTTCTTTGTTGCAGCACAGACATGCTCGTTGCAAAGAGTTCCCGCCATTTGTATGCTAATTTGAGCCCCATTATTGGCCAGTTCTAAATTATTCACACGTGGCGGCTAGTGATTGGCTTGCTAGCCGTATAAAAGGCTTGAGTGGTTTCCGCCCAAGTTGGAGGACTCCACGAACACCAGGAGGAGGAGACTTCACGTCTTGTGAAGATCTCTAAGCGCTGTGGATCTTTACGGACCCAGTGCATTTAAAGCAGACAACAGGGGTCTGATCAGCCTCTAGCCTTTCCCCGTCACCGAGCGCAATCCTCGACGTATCCCTCTCCCTGCGCGCAAAAGGATCCACGGAGCCTAGCAAACTTAGTGTGAGTCTATTTCTTGCCAGCTGGAACAACTGACATAGTTGTTCAGACGACCGGACTACCTCTGAGCACAAGTTCCACGGAGCCTAGCAAACTTCGTGTGAATTTATTCAGAGCTCTTTTGTACAAGTACTTTCTTCGGTTGACACGACGGGCTCGCGTGTTTAGAGCCTTCAGCCGGATTGGGCTAGAGTTCACGAGTTTAGAACTCTTGTCCTCCTCTCTTCTTTCCTGTCTGTAACCGCAACTCAAGCAAGTTTTCCTGCCTGCACTGCGACCATCTTCGGTGTAAGTAAAATAATCTTTAAATGAAACCATTACGCATCTGTGACTAATTCTAGCCCGTGCATTCCTTACCGCCGTGCGGTCCCTTCTGACCCCGCGTGCCCGGGCTGCTGGCCACAGCCCGCGTGCGCAAAGACGGGTCCGCATATCGCTCCCGGCTCGCATATGGCGACATGGATGGGACCGGGAGGCGGCCCGCACACTGTATAGTTTATGTAAAGGGAGAAAGGATCCTAATAAATGATGGGAGGTGGAAGGTACAAATGCAGAATGTTTAGTACCTAGGACACACAAAATGCACTTTTGTGTCATTCCATCTAGTCAAGCAAATAGAATGACCAACTGAATGAACTATGTTGGGGGAAGGAGAGGGGTTGTTCTTTTTGTTTATTTTGGTTGTTGTTTTATAATCCTGCCATACCGACTCGGGAGAATGGTCTTAGAGTGTTGAGAATGAGAAGTGGACGCCAACTTCAGACCACAAATGCAAAATGTCTTGAAGTAGCCCACCTTGTGCTTTTTTTCTTCTAAGTACAAAACCCTGACACACGTGTAACTGTGTCGTGCAGGACTTCTATACTGTTTGTGCCCCTAAATCCCATAACTTTCCACATTTTCTTTCATATTACATGCTTCCAAATAGAACATGCACCTTGTTTAGGGAAAATGGAATGAAGAAGAAAATATTTTTCCAAGATTCGACTGTTGACTACAGGAGCAGAGTAAACTGAATGCATTCTTCCGCCTGGCTGCTCTGCCAAAACTATAGTTTTAACTCTCACAGCTGCTGCTGCAGCCAGAAGCTATCACCAATTTGGCAGCAGCTGTGAAGGGGTTAAAACTAACTTTGCTTCTAAAATTTTCCC